CATTACAACATAAAGCAGAGAGGCTGAGGAAGGACTATTTTTTCAGTGATAGAATTAAACCTACAGGACTTGGCAAGATAGAGGCTTTGGGGAAAGAGAACTCAATTTATAAAGCATCTTCCAAGAGGTCTCTGGCACTGGAGTAGGCATTTTTTCACACTCTATCTTTGATTTTCAAAACATGCCACAGAGGTAGGTATTTTATCAGAAATTCTCTGAATTCTCAGTGAATGTACCTCATAATGATCTACAGCACTACAGTCTGAAAGCAGATATTTCTGATGACATCTCTCCTAAACTAGCACTGTGTACAAAATGCCAAGGAGGGACATCTTGCATTGGAGAAATACAAGGAGACCATATTTCTTTCTTTGGGAGTTTATGGCATGCGTGAGTGGTTCTGAGTTCTGGAGAGGAGCAGCCTCAGCATCTCCGGGCGCTGGGCAGAAGTGCAGGTCTGGAGCTGGCAGTCCGCTCAGCAAGCTCGCCAGTGATCCTGAGGCACTCAGTTTGAACCCACTGGGTTCGAGCTTCTTGTAGTCTGATCAGAGACAGCAGCAATAAAGATGCTTTTACACAGGCTCCCCAATCCCACCACTCGTTTTGTAAAATTTATTTTTGGACCAGAGTGACAGTACAGCAGGTAGGACTTCTGTTTTGCACACAGCAACCCAGGCTCAACCCCCAGAACCCCATTAGCTTTCCCTTAGCCCACCAGGGGTGATCATTCGAGTACAGAGCCAGGAGGAAGCCCTGAGCCTAAATAGGTGTGGCCTAAAACGAAAGTCTTTTTGTTTTGTTTTGGGCTATACCCCCATAGTGCTCAGGGGCTACTTTTCGACCATACAGTACTGGGGATCGAACCTGGGCCTCCTGCTGCAGCCCACGAGCCATCTCCCGGGCCCTCCCAGGTTCTTTGCTTACTTAAGAGAGGAAGGCAAGACTCTTCACCACCCATCACAAAAGGCTGCTTTCGGGTGAATTTTGGGGAGGCCATTCACTGTCACATGGCAGAAACACGAAAACGTAGGCAGGCAGGCTGCCACTGTCCTCTCAAACTAGCTCCATGCCCCTGCTTCCTTTTCTGCCTCAACAGGAAGTTAGGAATGGCTGGCCAGAAGCTGGGCTCCTCTGCTCTCCTCTGTTACCTCCGGCCCGATGCTGCCGATCCAACAAGTAGCTTTAGCCTAACTGTGGCCAACGTTGGCACATGCCAAGCAGTGCTGTGCCGAGGTGGGAAACCAGTGCCCCTCTCCAAAGTCTTCAGCCTGGAACAGGAGCCGGAGGAGGCGCAGAGGGTGAAGGACCAGAAGGCCATCATCACAGAGGTGAGCCTCGCTCTCCCACACCTCAGCAATGCTTCTTAGTCCCCGTCAGTGAGATAAGGAGGAACTCTCATCAGCACAAGCAGGAAGGAAAAGCAAATGAATATTTGGGAGGATCCCTTTTGATGATCCTTGAGTCATATGGCTAGTATGTAAAAACGAGTGGAAGTGTCCCCTTGGGCTGATTCCCTGCTTACCCACTCTGCTGGTTCAGAGAGAAGAAAAGTCATATCGTCCTACGGCCTGCTCTGACGGCTGTGTTCTAACCCATTCTTCTGCTTTGATGTCATTTAAAATGCCGTTTGGGCTATTTCCCACGCCCCTTAATTCTACTTGATTTTCACCTTAGTTTTCTGAAAGTATTGGTGTAATACCATTTGTTTTGTCTTTTTGGAAGTATGCACCTTTACTCCTCTAATTCCACTGAAAATCATACAGTTGTCAGGATGGAGAGAGAGTACAAGGATTAAGGTGCTTGTCTTGCAAGTGGCTGACCTGGATTTGATCCCCTGAGCCCTGCTATGAGTGAGCCCCGACCACAGAGCCAGGAGTAACCCTGGAGCACAGTCAGGTGTGGCCCCAAAATAGAAAAATAAAATTATACAGATCTTAGAAAAATATGTAAAACATTCCAGTTCTGTTTTGTCCTAGCACCCTAAGCATTGTGTTCTAGAAAGCATGGTGTTTCTCAGAATTTGCATTCTGTCCCTAGGACAACAAAGTGAACGGCGTGACGTGCTGCACCCGGCTGCTGGGCTGCACATACCTCTACCCCTGGGTCCTCCCCAGGCCCCACATAGCCTCTGTCCCGCTCACCATCCACGACGAGCTGCTGATTCTGGGCAACAAGGCCCTGTGGGAATACCTGTCCTATGCAGAAGCTGTCGACGCCGTGCACCATGTGGAAGACCCGTTAGCAGCCGCCAAGAAGCTGTGCACGTTGGCTCAGAGTTACGGTTGTCAGGACAACGTGGGGGCCATGGTGGTGTACCTGAACATCGGCGAGGAAGGCTGCACTTGTGAGATGAATGGGCTCACCCTTCCGGGCCCCGTGGGCTTTGCAGCCACTGTCGTCAAGGACCCCCCCAAGCCAACCACCCCTTCGTCCAGCAGCGGCATCGCGTCCGAGTTCAGCAGCGAGGTGTCTACCTCAGAGGTGAGCAGCGAGGTGGGCTCCACGGCTTCCGACGAGCATAATGCCGGGAGCCTGGAAGCCGGCCTGCTCCCTAGGCCCGAGCGGCGCTGCAGCCTCCACCCCGCGCCCTCCGCGGGCGCCTTCCAGCGCCAGCCCTCGTGTGCGACTTTCTCAAGCAACCAGTCTGATAATGGCCTGGACAGCGACGACGAGCAGCCCGTGGCGGGGGTGATCACGAACGGGAGCAGGGTGGAGGTGGAAGTGGACGTCCACTGCTGCCGGGGGCGCGATCTGGAGAGCTCCCCTCCGGCCGCAGGGCGCCCACCTGCCCCGGGTCCCGAGGAGCAGGCGCGGGGGCTGCTCTGGGGAATCCGAAGACAGAACAGTGTCAGCAGTGGCATCCTGGGGCCAGCCAGCAGGGACAGACTGGAGCTGCAGAAGTCGCCCTCCGCGTCCTGCCTCTATGGCAAGAAGCTCTCCAACGGCTCTGTCGTGCCCCTGGAAGACAGCCTGAACCTCATCGAAGTGGCCACAGAAGTGCCCAAGAAGAAAACGGGCTATTTTGCCGCCCCGACACAGCTGGAGCCAGAGGATCAATTTGTGGTCCCCCGGGACCTTGAAGAGGAAGTGAAGGAGCAGATGAAGCACCACCAGGAAAGCAGGCTCGAGCCCGAGCCCAGCGAAGACGATCGGACCGAGCTTCCGGAGGAGTTTGACACGGCTCTGTAGGGGCCGCCGCACCCTCCCACAGGTAGCGGTCTCTGCAGAGCCGGGGAGAGGGGACACCGCTCAGAGCCCAGAGTGGGGCGCACTGTCAGGGTCTCGCGATAAGCTAGAAAACGCCATCAGTGTTAAGTTTCCCATGTGACCTGCATCGGAATTCCCAGCATTCCTGGGAAGAAAGCGTCCTACCACCTGCCATTAACCCTTTCCCTCCTAGGATAATTTTGAGAATTTGCCTGCCTGGGCAGGAAAGGGACCATTTCTGTGGAGGAGATGACGGAAGATTGATTTCCTTTCCTAATTGCTGCTGACGGATCTCTGTGACAGAGAAATCACCTTATATCTCAGCCTGATGGATGGGATGGGATGTGACAAGTCACATGGCGTTTCATTCTTCTCTACGAGAATACAAAATGACGTTTATTGGAAATGTAGAACCAATCAAACAGCTAATTTATGTATGTAATGTAATGAGAGCACTTTTCATTGACTGTGAACTTTTTATTTTTGAATCTGCACTCGAGCCAATATTCTTAGAGGCAGCCCAGCACCTTTGTCTGTAGGCAGAATTGTCCTTGATTGGGTGTTGGAGCCTCCTGTGAGGGTACGAGGAAGCATCCTGGGGAATTGCTCTAACTGTTGGCTGTCAGACTGTGAAGCGCCTGAGGAATCTGGGGGGGCTGAGGGGGACGCAGATAGGATCTTCTCTGAGGATGAAGCTAGGGAGGGAGAGAGGACCCTGATCAGAAAGAGAATAAATAACTCCTTGACAAATGTGACACCCGCTGGGCACTTTGCAGTAGCTCCCCAGAGGCACCTGGGGATTGGCTTCTTCCCATGACACGCGATGGCTTCAGCAGCCAGCCTCCTACTGTGTAGGGCGGAGGCTGCATGCGTCCATGGGCCCCTGACGTAGGACCTGTGACTCCGAGACCCTGGGGCTGACAGGACAGGTGGCAGGGCTGTTCCCAGGCCAGGCCGTGCTTTCTCTCCCTCTAGAGGGATGGTTTTCTCAGATGTTGGGAATAAGAGAGTTCGCCTCTAGAGTGGCCAGCACAGTCTTGACAGAAGACTGCTTGTCCACCTCACGTAGCTTCAGAGTACTGGGCTAAGTCACTCATATAAGAAAGACTTGATGGAGAAAGTCCTAAGCCTACAAAAAAAAAACTGGTTTACTGTATTATTTGCACATTCCATGTAACCCTAGCAAAATGCAGTTCCTTCCATATTTCTGTTGCCTTCTCCCATGAAAGATTTACTTAGGAAATTAACTCCTATTCTACAAAATTTTGACATGGCTTGATTTTACCCAATGGGGAATGTGCTTTGAATTTTTAGAATACTTTCACAATTCAAAAGAAAATAGAGTGGAACCATTTTCAGTTTGTTTCATGAGAAACAAAATATTAAATATAAGATTTTTATACACACATACACACATCTATATTTATGAGGATTTTTTTAAGTTTGCTAAAGCAATAGTAGGAAGCCAGATGACCTGTTCATATGTGTGCACCTTCTCCAAGACCCTGTGCATGTGTATGTGTGTGTCTGTGTGTGTGCGTGTGTGTGTGTGTGTGTGTGTGTATGTATGTATGTAGAGTTAGTTCTGTACCACCAGTTCTGAGAGTTTCATTCCACTCCAGTGCTGTCTGAAATTCAACCCCTCAAGATTATGAACTATTTGATGGGGCCAGAGAGATAGTATAGCGGGTAAGGCATTTGCCTTAAATGCAACTGACCCGGGTTTTAATCCCTGGCGCCCCATACGGTTCCCCAAGCCTGCCAAGAGTGATCCCTGAGTGCAGAGCCAGGAGCAACCCTGAGCACTGTCAAATGTGGGCCAAAAACAAAATTATGAATTTGAGAATTTGAGTCTCCAAACCCCTGACCTTCTCTGTGTTAAACTACTGGTCAGCTACTGAAAAACAGAACTCAGGTCTTGATTCGAAATGGTTCAGCACATAAGTGGGTGTTTCAAAGCCCAGGTGTTGTTAAATTGACAGGAATGATAATATGTTGCTGCCTTATTTTTATATGGGAAAATGGGAAAAAATGATGGAAAAGCCCAACAGGTTAGTGATGGATGATGTAAAACATCTTTCTGCTCAGATAGCAGAACTTTTAAATTCTGGTGTATGATGTTGTTTAGAAATTTTCTTTTTTATTAAAACCACTTTAATAGTATTGTCTCTTTTAAAAAAATCATTCTTTATTTGTGAGCCCTTTTCTTGTTCTCTCTTTGTTTCTCTTCCTACTGATTGGAACCACCACAAAACCCAGTTCTGAAATAACTTTACCCAAAGTAAATGCATTTATTTTTTAGTCAGAAGAACTTAAAAATTCCAAATGTTCTTTCATGTGGTGGGTTCATTTTTAGGAAACCTTAGGTTGTACTGGAAACCTTTTATGTAAGCTAAACCAAAACTGATGATGATTCTTTTATTGTGACTTCCTTTAATCATTTTCCTCTGTACTTGCTCTGTCTTAACAGAGAGGGTAAGAGGGCCATAGCCCTTTACCAAAAATACCATATGGAACTCTTGACCTCAGAGGTCAGCTTGGCCACTGTATTAGCTGGTGAGGCTGACCAGTGGAGAGAGCCGGTCATCTGTCTCCAGGTGAATGTAATCTGCTTCCAGGACTTTCCACAGCGGGGCGTCGGCGGGTGGCAGAGCGCGGCGATCTCTAGCCCCGAGATTCCGGCCTCTGCACGGATCTCAGGTCTCTTGGTACCTCCCCTTCATCGAAGAGCATCACTGCTCCTCGCTGGAGCACTCAGGAGTCCCATGGAAGAAAGAAAATACCTGAGTGTGGCCACAACCATGGTATTCTTATTTTTATCTGGATGGATTAGAAATCTATTTGAAACTTTGCTGGTATCTCACAGTGCTACCACAGAGTCATTGAATCCCCCGCCTGCTGCGGTGGGGGCTTTGTTGTGCTATTGTAGAGTGTGTGTAGAGTAAGGGGATGAATTCACTTTCTGGGTGTGTAGACGAGCCAACACGAGCAGCTGGCTGATCGCTGAGTGCTCTCAGCATTGTTCGTAGTGAGTGCTATTTTCCAGGAGCTGGTTCAGTTTGTCCCGTCTACTGCACAGCAAACGATGCTCTTCTTTCCACATGAACCTTCAGCAAACACAGGTACTTGGAAGCCACAGGCTCACCTCCATCTACTCAATAATTCTTAATAAAGAGACCTCCATAAAGGGAGCACATGGCTGTTACCAATAAACGTACCAATTACCCAATAATTAGTCTCCAAGCCATTCGGTGATGTGTACAGCATCACTGTAGAACTGTCTTGTGTCACTTTTTACTTCCCTTCGGGAGAGGGCTTTCAGGTCCCCCCATTGGCACCTCTCAATCATGGAGGAAGCGCCTCTTCCTCTCCAGCTAGTGACTTCTGCCCCGTGGTTGGGGAAACTTCCTAGACTGAGAAACACAGCTCCAGTGAGTCCTGCTGAGGTCCTCGCTGGTGATCGCTCACTCACACATAACGCTCCTTGTATTCTAACTGTCGTGCACTTCTAATGCTCTCGGGTTTTCTCTCTGTTGGCCATGGGTGCCATCCAGACAGTGAGTTCATATCTTATGGTTTTGTGCAATCATTGTCGTATTGTAGTCCTAAGACTCATTATAGTGTATTTTTGATATTTTTGAAATGTGTTAAATTTTTTAATTCAATAATATGAGCCAGAGCATGTTGCAGCAAATCTATTGTTTGTAAAAAATAATAACAACAATAAATAACATGAAATGGAATCTTTTTGATGGCTTTGTTTTAAAATGGAATTACCTTTTTTTTTTTACGAACATTTTAGCATGAAACTGTGATTTTCTCTCATTTGTATGTAGGATTAGTTGCTTAGCTATGAGTTCCTATAAGGTGTTTTAGCTTTTCTTGCTGTAGAAGAAGATAAACAGATGGTGACCACATTCCATGACACTCTATAAGACTTTGAGCTAAGAAGCTTTTAGATCACCTTTCAAGCTGAAAAGCAATAAAGATTTCTTTTTCATGTTGAGACATTATATTTTGACTTGATTTATATGTTTATGAAGAAATCCTAAAGAGAGAAAACGTGGTTTTTTTTTCTCTCTCTCTCTCTCTCTTTTGGGCCACACCTGGTTCTTGCTCAAAGCTTTCTCTTGGCTCTGCACTCATTGATCACTCCTGATGGGCATATATGGCATATATGGATCAAACCCAGGTAGGCTGTGTAAAGCTAAATGCCCTACCTGCTGTACTCTTGCCCCAGTCCCCAGACAATTTGGTCTTTACATGCAGCTTATTAACTAGCTAGAGGAAACTCCCTCTTCTCTGTTCTTTTGTTTTTTGGGGGGAGGTGTGGGGTTTTGGGCAACAATACCCAGCATTGTTCAGGGCTTGCTTCTGGCTCTGGGCTCTGGGCTCACTCCTGGTGATTGCTCAGGGACCATATGCAGCGCTAGGGATCAACTCAGGGTCAGCTGCATGCGAGGCAGGTGCCTTATCCCAGGTATTATCTCTCCAGTCTGTCCTTCAGAGTTGATGTCACAGGTGCTAAGTGGATGCTGTGGTCAGGAGTCACACCAATGGCTTTGGTGTCAGAACTTAACACACAGTGGCAGTCTGTCTCCTTCTCCCTTGTAATCTCAAGTCTGCCAGTGGACTAGTTCTCATTCCAGACACAGGCCACGTGAAATGATTTCTCAGCTTCCTCACAGGGTAGACTGGACACTTTTTTTCTTCTTTTTTGGGGGTCACACTTGGCACAGGGGTTACTCCTGGTTTTGCACTCAGGAATTACTTCTGGCAGTGCTTATGGGACCTTATGGGATGCTGGGGATAGAACCCAGTCAGCTGCGTGCAAGGCAGATGCTCTCCCCACTGTACTATCGCTCTGGCCTCCGGAGTGGAAATTTTGAAAATGTGCTCAAGTATCAACGGATACTTGAGCACCTTCATTGCATGGGCTCCACCCATTTTGTCCAGGCCTGGGTGGCTGCATGGTGGTTCTGAGTATGCGCCTTGCTGTGTGGGCTAGGTATTCCCTGGCACACCAAAGACCACAGGATTCCACGAAGCACCCACCCCCTCCAGGATGCTATCCGCTGGGTTTGCATATGGTTTCTGCCACTCAGAGCTGACGTGAGGCATATCCTTTGGCTCTAAAAGGCTGAGTCTGTACATGGAAACAACAGTCTCTCGTTGGCTGTGAGTCAGTGCCAACAGATGCTTCCTCAACTAGGGGCCTGGCGACAGAATGCCCACAGGTGGAATAGGCCATGTTCAGTTCCTCAGCATTCTGTGAAACAGGAGAGTTAAACCGGGCTGCCAGCCTAGTGGTAGGACAGTAGAGCCAGGCATGTTCTGAATGTCAGGAGCTCGGGAGGGACAGTGGGTGCTGATACTCACCAGAGGCTCCAGTGAAAGAGATCAAAGGCCTCATCTGCTCACTGTGCATGTGTAAGGCGGGCTTGGTCTCCCGGGGAACCACCACCAGCTGTGCTCCCCAAACAAAGCAAGACCAAAAACAAAAGAATAGCACCAGCAGAGGACCCCAGGGTGGGAGCCATGGCACAGGACATGTTTCAGGGAGTAGCTGCTAGGTGAGAATAGTTGAGGCAGGGCTGCACCAACGGGTTCATTTTTACTGCTGGGACTCAAAGCATATATCCCTGCATGGAAACCGTGTGGGGCCTTGGCCAGCGCCGTGGGACTCGGGATTCAGGAGTGCACAGATGCTGCCGTTACCCAGAAGGGCGGATTTGTAGTTCTTCCCTTTGAGTATAATTTGGAGAGTCTGGGGCCTTTGCTTTGGACAGGTGTTGAGGATTCGCTCGCGGAAGCCAGAGAGATGGCTCAGGGTTGACTGCGTGGTACCCCTGCATGGTCCCCCGAGTACCACTGGGAGTGGCCTCTTCCACCAGGCATGGGTGCAAAACTAGAACAACAAAATAGAATTAGGCAGCGAAGGGATGGGAGAGGAGAGCAGAAAGGTGGTAAGGGGGGCGGGGCAGGGGATGAAAGGGAAGGAAAGTTTGTGGGGGAGAAGAAACAGCCACCAGACGGGGCCAAGACATAAAGGAAGGTGACAGTGATTCATTTCTTTCTTTAGAGGGTAGAAAAGTTTATTGGAAAATAGAAGAGAAGGAAAGGAACTCCCCACATGGGGAAGAACTTAGTATAGGACTAAGTTCTGATTTCATTTTTAAAAGTAATTTTGTCATATTTTGGACAGACTTATGTTGGCTGGATTATGACTATATTGAGAAGAAAAACCGATTTCTCTCAAATTTGCATTGTGGGTTTATCATTTTTAACAAAAAATTTTAAATGATTATGAATAAGAGAATAAATTATTGAAAAGCCAAGGCAATGAGGAAAAAGAAATTACAATTTAAAAAAAACATATAGTGTGGGTTGGGAGGAACCAGCTCAAAATTTCCTGCATGTTTTGTATGCAGGAGGTTCTTTTCCATCCCTGGGAGTGCCTGGACCCAGAGCACTAAGCCAGGAGTAGCCTCTGAGCACTGCTGAGTTTGGCCCAAAACCAAGAGTCTGGACAGTGCCTGTTTCTACTTGCATGTGACAAGGAACGGAAATCAGACTAGCAAAGCACCAGAAGGCTAGAGATCTTGAGATGAAAAGTACTGACAACTTTTATTTCTGAGGTTCAGTGTTAGTGATGTTACATCGTGAAAACAATGCAGGGGGTAAGAAATCCTCTGCACTCAGCAGTGACCTATGGTCCAGAGGAGGGCGCTGCCCAGGAATGTGGAGTGGTGGGCATCCCCCCACCTGCTTTGCTGGGGTTGTAAGGAACTGCTTCATCTTCGACATCGGTCGAATGCCATGTTTCAGAAGATTGTGAGTTTTTCTTCTATTAGGAGGCCTTGTTGTAAGAATATACTTCAGGTAAGTGAGTCAGTGGGAGGATTTGCTGAGCTGGAAGGCTGGCCCAAAACCAAAACAAGAACCAACAACTTTCCTCTGGGTCCAAATACAGGAAGCCAAGAGGGAACGGGTGCTAAGAGGGTGCTGGGCAGGGCCCAGGCTCCCATCTCCTTCGGAAGGGCGCTCCTGGGCACCAGGCACGGTGGCTGGGCACCCAGCTTCCGTCTCGGAGGACATCAGCAGGTCACGCTCTGTGGAATCCAGTCCTGGTTGCTCTGAGAAGTGCGGGGGTCCATCTGGGTGCAAACGGCCCATTTCTTTGGGCAACTAGGCAGTGAGGACAGGGCAGTGTTGCTCCGTGTCCTCCTTGCTCCGAATTTCACCAGGCCTGGGCATTCACAGTGAGCCTTGCACATGGCAAGGCAGCCATCCTGACAGGCCGAACCCCAAATCCTGGCATTGCTCTCTGTCGCAAGTTTTTCTGAGCGCTCTGCCAACACCGAGTGAGAGGAAACCCCGCGCCAGTCAGCACACTGGGCACCGGACACCACCACAGCTGCAAAAGCCACAGTGGTCAGCGGGATCCGACCGCCTGTGCTGTGGTGCCCGAGAGGGTTGTCAGAGTGTTCCCGACCACAGATACTCGGGGGCGTGTCCGTAACTCGCGGGCACTGACTGGCTGTCCTTGCAGAGACGCTTCTGCTCCCGAATGTTCCGAACGGCCAGCACCACGCTGGCACTGTACATCAGCACCAGCAGGCAGGCGAAGGTGGCGGCCGCCCCGTCGGTGCCAGCCAGCTGGCAGTTCATCCACGTGAGACCTCTGCGGGCGTACAGCCTCTCCCGGGCCTTGCACGTGTCCGTGGCGTTGATGCGAAGGGCTCCATGCAGGTAGAAGCCGATGCCCACACAGTAGCCCACAGCCGCCAGCACGCTGAAGGCCACCTCCACGAGCAGCCACCGGGGCGGCAGCCTGCTCAGGCTCTTGGCTCCTTGAAGCAGGACGCCCATGGTGAGGACCCCCAGGCCCAGGGACACGGCCACGCCGCCGTATATCAGGGGCGAGCGCAGGACCGTGTACTGCTGGTCCAGCTGGCGAACCTGTTCCAGCTCGGTGCCCTCAAACGGAAAATAGTTGTTCCCGAAGCTGCCTCCACTGGTGAAGCTGGCGCTGAATCCCGCCAGCGCAAAGTAGGAGGCCACGATGCACATGAGCACCATCCCGTTCAGGATCACCTCCACTATCTGTACCACACCTGCGAGGAGAGAGATTTGTGGTTTAACAGGGGGACTCGCACGGGAACGCTCTCCAGGGCGGACCGGAAACCACCTGTGGGTCCTCACTGGGAGGAGGGTCCAGTCCCAGACGCTCACCTTTGCCTTTGGGTTTTTCTCAAGGTAATCAAATGCACACCTATCGCATGGGCCGGAAGAGGAAAGCTGGGGCTGGAGACATAGAACCGCAGGGAGGGCGCTGGCCTTGCACACGGCCCACCTGGGTTCCAGTCCAGGAGCCCTACATGGTCCCCTGAACCCCATCAGGAGTGATCCCTGAGCACAGAGCCAGGATTAAACCCTGAGCAAAACCGGTGTGGTCCCCCCAAACAAAGAGAATACAGTCTTAGGAGATGGCTCAAAGGGTTGGGGTACGTGCTCTGCCCATCTCCCCAACAACGTGACCCCTCCCCCCAGTGAAAGCTTAGATCTGCTCAAAACCATGTGCATAAATGTTCACGGAACACGGAAGCTTCATTGCTTAGAGCCAAGAAACAAGGTACCAGACCAACTGTCCCCGGGTATGTGTGTGTGGGGGGGGGGCGGGGGACACAGTGCCACTGGACAGTTCCTGGAACATCTGGCGCAGCCATAGGAAGAACAGACAGTGCCATGACAGCTGGGATCGCTGGGCAATTAGGAGGGAGGAGGGATCCCCCCCAAGTGGGGTGCCCGTGGACTCCAGGCTGTGACTGTCAAGTCCCTGGCAGCTGCCTGAGAAGAGCATGCCCAATGACCCCTGTCCACCCAGCACAAGGAGCGGCTCGTCACCATCCCAACTGCAGAGCCAATGACTAGGCAGTGAGGACAGGGCAGTGTTGCTTCCTGTCCCTTGATGCAGGGTGTGTGTGTGTGTGTGTGTGTGTGTGTGTGTGTGTGTGTGTGTGTGTGTAGTTCAGCCCCATTTATTGCATGATCCCGCTCTGCCTTCATTTCCCTTCTGTGAACATGCCAGTGTCCCCTCTTGCCCTGACCACATCACGGTTTCCTCTGGACTGCGTGGATGGACAAAGTGGAATCCTGGTCCACACAGTTCGAGCCTCAAATGAATCTGCAACAACCAAGAGGAATCATGGTCTTTGGCCGAGTACAATCCTGTGGTATCTTGAAAGAACAGGCCCCTGCGTGTGACCGCGGCACCAGCCAGGTCTGACCTGGCTTCACTCTCAATATGCAACAGGCCGCTCGACTGCCAAGACGGAACTAGAGACAGACATATCTGGGGCAAAGGAACCCAGTAGCCAGCACTGTTGACCCGCTCCTCCTGCTGAGACAGACCCTCCTCTGGGACAGCAGGGGGCGGTGCAGAGCAACAGGAAGGCTGAGATGGCCCAGAGATTTGTGCTGTGAACCACATCCTTCTAGGTGAGGCTCTTGTGGCTGCCCAGTTAATACTCAGCTTCCTTATGCCTCTATAGCACAGCGGTAGGGTGTTTGCCTTGCACGCAGCCAACATGGCCGACCCGAGTTAGATTCTTCCACCCTTCTCGGAGAGCCAGGCAAGCTACTGAGAGTATCTCGCCCGCATGGCAGAGCCTGGCAAGCTGCCCGTTATGTATTCGATATGCCAAACACAGTAACAACAAAGTCTCAAATGGACACGTTACTGGGCCTGCTCGAGCAAATCGATGAACAACGGGAGGACAGTGACAGGATGAAAAAACTGAGGAGCACCAATCAACCTTTCTCTTTAAAGTTAAAAATAAATAATATATCCTTGGCCCGGAAAGCCATGCAAAATGAGAAATAAATAGCCTTAAAAAGAAACCACTTGATGGGGCTGGAGAGATAGCACAGCGGGTAGGGCGTTTGCCTTGCACGCGGCCGACCTGGGTTTGATTCCGAGCATCCCATATGGTCCCCTGGGCACCGCCAGGAGTAACTCCTGAGTGCAGAGCCAGGAGTAACCCCTGTGCATCACCAGGTGTGACCCAAAAAGCAAAAAAAAAAAAAAAAGGAAGAGAAAAAAAGAAACCACTTGACCAGGAGGACTGGTCAGTGGATGGAAGCTTGCCACAAGTGTTTGGGAGGCGGAGGGTAGTTAGGTTAGAGAAGGAACCAGTATGACAGTCACTGTCACTGTCCCTGTCCTCCCGTTGTTCATTGATTTGCTCAAGCGGGCACCAGTAACGTCTCCATTGTGAGACTTGTTGTTACTGTTTTTGGCATATCCAATATGCCACGGGGAGCTTGCCAGCCTTTGCCATGCGGGTGAGATGCTCTTTGTAGCTTGCCAAGCTCTCCAAGAGGGGCAGAGGAATCGAACCTGGGTCGGCTGAGTGCAAGGCAAACCCCCTACCGGCTGTGCTCTCTCCAGGCCAGTATGATAACAATAGTTAGAAATGATCACTTTGGACAGGAACTGAATGTTGAGTGTAAAGGAATATATCTGAAAACCTTTCAGTTATCTGCATTGCAAGCCATAGAGCCCTAAAGGAAAGGGGTGCGGGGAGGGCGTCTGCCAGAGAGGCAGGGGAGGGGAAAACGGGAGGGAAAGTGGGGACATGGGAGGTGGGAAATGTACGCTGATGGAGGAATGGGTGTTAGAACACTGTATGACTGAAACCCAATCATGAACAACTTTGTAACTGTATCTCACTGTGATCCAATTAAAACAAAAAAAAAAAAATCACTTCTTTGTTTGCATGCACTGTTCATGAGTACACTGGCAAGCGTGAATAGGTTATTCCCTTAGCCCCAGAGGGGCTCACCTTTAGATGCGGTAAGTGGCCTGTATTTCAGGGATAATGGAAACATAATGAGAACCATCACCTCCGAGTTCAAGATTTTCTGTGAGTTTTTATTAGCATCACATGAAGCACAGGGCATGTTCTCTTGGATCAAGAAAATACTGTCCGGGGGCAGGGCAGTGACGCTCCTGGCCTGAAGCTGCATTCTGCCACTCCCGCAGAGTTCTTCTATTCTGGTGGGACCCTGAATTCCAGATGGTGGGTCGAATTCTTCTGACAATGGTACATTTACAAGAGGTACAAAACACTTATTGAGCTTCGGGGCCCCTGGACGGGGCGAGGAGAATAGCTTCTTTGCAACCCAGTGAATTAATCTGATCTCCTTTGCCTCCGCCCCCGCCGCCCTCTGGCTTGAATCTTATAGAAGTTGCCTCCCGCCCGGCGGTGCCCACCCCGTCCAGCCAGGGCGCTGAGGACGTGAAGGACATGAGAAGCGGGGGCTGACCCACAGGGGACAGGCGGCCTGAATGTATCCGGGGCTGCAGTTTTTGGTCTCGTTTGGCTGAGCCCTCACCCGCATGGGCTTCTCACGTGGACAAGGTCCACGGCGAAAGAAAAGCAGCTGTGAAGCAGCTTCCAACATCGACACTCAGTGGAACGGTTTTGGGGTGGATTTCTTTTTTCTTCTTTTTCTTCTTTTTGGGTCACACCTGGCAATGCACAGGGGTTACTTCTGTCTCTGCACTCAGGAATCACCCATGGCGGTGCTTGGAGGACCATATGGGATGCTGGGAATCGAACCCGGGTTGGCCGCGTGCAAGGCAAACGCCCTGCTATCACTCCAGCCCTGGATTTCTTTTTTCTTTTTCCGCACTGAGGGTTGAGCCGAGGGACTGGTGCTTGCCTGACCCCAGGCCGGCAGAATGCTTGAACTCTCCGCTGAGGCCACACCTGCTGGTGCTCAGGGGTCGCTCCCAGCACAGGGCATCCGCTCTGGGTGGGCCGTGTGCAAAGCAAGCGCCTAAGCCCCGTACTCTCCCTTGGGCCCCTGCAACGCTTCTAAAACATCAACACATGTGCCGGCTTCTCCTTCAGCAACCTGACCTTGCGGTAGCCCTTGAAGGCCAGCACCGCCCCCAGGGTAAAGACCCCCATAGCCAGGGCCGCGAATACGCCTGCCCCGATGTCTCCGGCGTGGAAGGCGCAGGTGAAGCCGCTGTAGCCCTTGCTCTGGTACAGGGCCGCCCTCTCCTGGCACACGGGCGAGGCATAGGCGGCCGAGAGGCGCTGGAAGAAGCAGTACATGGCGGGCACGTAGGCCCCAACCACCAGCGCATCCAGCAAGCCCTCCACCACCAGCCACAGGGGGCAGTGCCACGGCACCCGGAGGACACCCAGGAGGAGGAGGAGGCAGGCCCAGGCCATGAGGGCCCCGCTGAAGCCCATAGCCGCAATGACCGTGGGCAGCTTCAGCTGGTAGAACTGCACGTCCAGCTGCTGCGCCTTCTCCCCGTCGGCCCCCTCAAACCCACTGTAGGCGCCTCCGTACTGGTAGTAGAAGATGCCCCCCAGGCTGGTGATGCCCGTGTAGCCCCCCGTGGAGCTGTAGGACATGGAACTGCAGACCAGGATCAGCAGGTTGAGAAGCGCCTCCAGCACCTGGCAGCAGGCTGCAAGAGAAGGGGGCGCCGCTGAGCGCAGAGACGGTGCGGGACGGGGCGGGGGGGGTGGCGGGGGGGTGTCTGGCCCCTAGGATCCCGTTGGGGGTGGGGGGACCGAGAAGGGGAATCCCGGAAGAGCACAGCGCCTGATTGTGGGGGGTGGTCAGGCTGCTGAGCAGCTAAGGCGGGATGCCCCCCAGAGTCCTCTCCTCTCAGTCTGGCAGAGGAGGGGCCCCCATTTTTTTACCAAAGGGAACCCCCTGGAAAAGCGGTGAGCCACGCCCGGAAAGTGGTTCAGGGTGTGCCGGAGAGATAGTACAGCGGGTAGGGTGTTTGCCTTGCATGAGGCCGACCCCGGTTCAATGCCCGGCATCCCATATTGTCCCCCCTCTACCCCCCACAGAACCACAATCCTGAGTGCAGAGCCAGGAGTAACCAACACTGATGACCAAAACCAACACCCCAGAGTGGCCGGTGCGTAGATGCAGCGGGCAGGTTTCAGGGTCTCAGTTTGCTTCCTCGAAGAAGCAAATCTGGGCGCTGTTCTCGGGGTCCTACAGGGCAAGGGCCAGTCTGTCCACAGCAGGAAGGAGCCGCAGCTACCCACAGCACTGCCACCCGCAGGCGGTGTAGACCCGCACACAGAAGGCTTTGCCCTGCTCGGTCCCAGCAGCACTGACCCACTTTGCACCTCCAGGGGCCTTGCCCTGCTGGGGTCTCATGCCCTCGTTGGTGCGGGTCCCCCTGCTCAGGCAGGGCAGCTGAGGTGGGCGCTGCAGCCTCCTCATGCCTGGGCACCGCGCCCGCCCACAGATGGGCAGCAATAACCGGGGGCTGGGCCGGGAGTTCAAAACCGCACACAGGGTCAGCAGACTCAAAACCAGTCCACTTCTCCCTGCTTTGTTTTGTAGTGCTCAAGGGGTTACTCCTGGCTGTTCAGGGATCACTTCTGGGAGGAACTGGGGCCATATGGGGTGCAGGGAACAGCCCTGGGTCAGCCGCATGCAAGGCAAGCACTCTCCCTCTCTTACCTCTTCCCCCTCCCCCCTCTCCCCGCTCTCTGTCTCTCTCTCTCTCTCTCTCTCTCTCTCTCTCTCTCTCTCTCTCTCTCTTTCTCATTTGGAGAGGAGAGACTCAAGCTCAGATCCTGGGGTCTCAGGGTTCCAGCAGTTTCCCATGCTCTGTTTCTAATGATGCCCCCTCTACTGTAACCCCGACGCTCTGATTCTCCCCAAATGCAAATGGCACTACTGTTTTCTTTAAATACAAACACGACACATAGAACATAAACACATGAAATTAAAGTCCAACCAGTTCAAAGTAAACCGCTGTTACTTTTGTTTTCAACCTGAACTTTCCCACCACATATGCATAGTTTCTACTATTGTTTATTACTTTCAGGGAAGAGGGGGAGTGTGGAAGGAGGAGAGAGAGAGAGAGAGAGAGAGAGAGAGAGAGAGAGAGAGAGAGAGAGAGAGAGAAGAAAGTGTGGAGACTTCTCAAAAACAAAAAGGCCATGCAGTTCCATATGACCCCGAGTTTCCCCTCCTAGCACCAACCCCAAGGACACTAAAACAGTCATCTGCAGGGACACACATACCCCCATGGTTACCACACATTAGTCACAACAGCTGAGATGTGGAAACGACCGAGTGCCCGGGCACAGATGAATGGGGACAGAGCTGGTGGCGGGTGTCCAGTAGGCCCGGGGGATGCTACTTGGCTCTGAGAAAAGATGAAATCTTTCTGGCTAAAGGAAGGGAGTCGGAAAGAAAAAGACAAATACCAGAGGCCTTGCTCATCTGTGGTGCGTGAGAAACAGCAAGAACCAAGACAGTCCCCAGTGGGAACCAACCCCGAGACAGTCAGGAGGGCAGTGGGGGGGAGAAGGGACCTTGACAGAGGTAGAGGGTCCCTGACACTGGAGGAAGAGGTGACGCGGCATTGCAGATAGAAAGCAAAGATAGGAGCCACTACAAACCGCCGTGCCCCAGTAAAAGAACTGGGGGGAGGGGGCGGGAATCTTGGTATTTTTGAAGACTAGTTATTCTAGAAAGGTCCATTACAAATATAAGTATTACTTAACTCCCTCTCCCCAGTAACAGCTACATTATTTATAAATTCTGGAAATAATAAGTTTATCATCCTTTGAAGGAAGGCAACGTGTCAGGCTGACAGCAAAGACACTTGTCACTTCTTCATGTCATGAACGTAGTTTTTCTTCTTTCCTTCCTTCTCTCTCTCTTTCTCTCTCTCTGTCGTTATTTTTAGATTACTTGGAAAAGGAAATGCAGGGAAATCTACTGTCTGAACACTGAAAGCTGACTCATTCACTTCATGAATGGCATCTGCAACAAGACTAAGCAAATAACTGAAAGAAATAAAAACATAAAAGCACAAAAGGTTCTCCAGGCACTGCTGTAGTCCCCCAGCAAACAGACGGGGCTGGAAAGACGGCACGAGGTGTAACGTGCTGGGCTGCGTGGGACCCACGCCAGCTCTCCCCCTCCACCCCCCCCCCCCACACACACACACCCGAGCTCTGTCAGGAACGACCCTGAGCACGGCAGGATTGCGATACATACAGTGAATATTTTTTCTTTTGCGGCAGACAGAAACCTTCCTCTTCGGTGCTGGCACGCAGGGAACACACGTGCAAGCCCCAGAGGTCCTAGAGCAGGATGCCCTGCCTGGTCAAACACACGCTTTGACGTTGAACACGTCAAACAGGTGGTTCGCACTTGGCCATGCCCTAATCACCGCAAGCTGCAGTGCCGGGTGGACAGCCCCGCAGAAGCCTCTGTCCTGTTGCAGTTTTCAGAGAGCCAGGGGCTGGGGCAAGCGTCTGGGGTGTCTGTTCCGAGCTTAAGATAAAGGTCCGGGCGCTGGAGAGTGAGCACAGCAGGGAGGGCACTTCCCTTGCACGCAATCCAGGTTTGGTCCCCAGCACCCCATAGGGTCCCCCTGAACTTGCCAGGAGGATCTCTGAGCACAAAGCCAGTAAGTCCTGAGCACTGCCAAGTGTGGCCCCAAATAAATAATAAATAAAGGTTCATCCCTGTATCTCTGGGGAGCCCCAGTACCCCCAGGTCTGAAAAAGCCCAGAGCCTCCCCCCATTTGCATGATGGACATTTCCAAGTCAGCCCCCCTCCCTGCCCCCAACAGCAGCCAAGCATTTCCGGTGAATCTTTCTGGGGTCCATCCAGAATTCCAGTGTGTCCAGGCGCAGACACTGGGCGTCAGCCCCATCCCAAGCACCGGGCTGGGGCGGGCCATGAAGACGTCCTTACAGGGCGAACTGCAAGCATAAGCATGGAGCAGAACCCCATTGCTGCCCCCCAAGACCCCGTTCAGCATGACCCCAGGTCAGTGGCATGGCCAGGTCCGAGAGACAAATCCTGCACACAGTTTCTTGGGAATGGGGTGAGGGGGTGAAAAAAATTCACAATTCACCTCTCTGGAAAGCCTGAAACAGAGCACACAGTATCAAGATTCGAGCACTAGGGGTCCACAGGGCAGTACCCCAAATGCGCCCCAAGGGAGGTGAGCCGGAGAGGCCCCTTCTTCTCGGGGAGCACGGCCCCTCCCTGGAGCACATTCTGAGGGCATCTTGCTTGGTCAGTTGCTCTGCCCGGAACTTCTTCCTCCGCCCCGTGGGGCATTGGCTGATGCCTGGCTCTGGTGTGGCCCGTGCCCTCCTCAGGCTCCACAGAGTGTCCAAAGGGGGACAGTCCACAGTGCAGGGGCTCCCTGGCTGGCAGGAAGGGTCCTGGCTGCACCTGAGACAGGGTGCGCGTCTCCGAGTCCTTATGTCTGGGTGCAGACTTCCTGCCTGAGACGGTGACCAGACGTGTCTTCACGTGGGGCTCCAGGCGCACCTCAGCTGTTAGCTGCAGCCCAACCTCTGGGCCCCATGCCAGAAACCGCTAAAGCTTCGGCAAAGTGAGGATTTTATTTCTTTGCGGGGGGGGGGGGGGGGGGGGAGGGGCGGGGCCAGGGGTGGAGAGCCTCCCAGCAGTGCTGCGGCCCCGTGCCACAATGACCACCCAGGTGTCACTCCAGTGATGCTTGGGGGTGTCCAGGGTCAAACCCAGAGACGTTGTGGGGGGCGGGAGCCAGGCATGAGGTGCTGGGGATGATACTGGATCCAACACTCTCCCTGGCCCGAGAGGGAGGGTTCTTCCCGCCGGGTCCCTGGGGCTTTGAAATGAACATTTGGTGTAATCCCATAATCAGACACAACTGGAACCCGCCCAGCAAATGGCCCTGATCTCACTCCCTCGGGCCGAGAACTTTCCCCCTCACATTACACAGTTGAGGGAACTCTCTCACCAGTCCCGTGAGTCAGAGGGACTCACCCAGAGAGGCAAGATTTTCCTCATTGCTGGCGAGGCACGGAGGGCGGCTCTGGAAGCCACAGGAGGAAGTGCCTGGCTGCTGTCCGCACTGCAGGTTTTTATTTTCGGGGGGTGGCACTCCCTGCAGTGCTCAGAGCTTACTCCCGGGAGCGCTCAGGGAATCATACAGGGCTCCGAGCACCAAACCCGGGTCAGCCGCGTGCAAGGCAAACGCTCTAGGCCCAGAACGCGTTTTCTTCTTTCTTTCCAAACATTCTCCCCAGACTGAAAAGCAGACAAGCTTCGTGGGCATTGTGTCGCCAGCCTGCAGGCACCTTCCCTGGGACCCAACCCTCCACAGTGGACAGACGGTGGCTGGTCAGAACACGGAGTGTCACCGCATACCCTGGCGCTCCCTGGTCACTCTGGGACCTGGAGAACCACAGAAAATCTGGCCCCATTTTCCAGACTTCCCAGGGCTGGAGAGATCATCCCGGGGTGGTGGCGGCACTCTGTCCCAGGCGGCTGACCCCTGTCAAATCCCAAGAGCCGCACACGGTCCCTCCAGTACAACCGGGGTCACTCCTGAGCACAGAGCCAGGAGCAGCCCCTGACACGCTGTCCGTGCCCTCCCCACCAAAAACATTCCTGATATTTGCCACCTTTTTAGGTCCCATGTTCCCTGAAGAAGGAAAACGAGAGATCGCAGAGTGGGTAGAGCGCTGGCTTTCTCAGCGGCCAGTCTGAGTTTGACGGTCCCTGCAATCATGCATGGTCCCCCAGCACGGCCAGGAGTGATGCCCGAACACAGAGCCAGGAGGAAACTGAGCACTGCCTGGTATGCCCAACCCCCCCCCCCCCCGCCCCACACACACCCCAAAGAAAAGGTGCCCATGTAGGTGGGGAAATCAAAGTAGTGGAAACCCCAAAGATCCCCCACGCCTGGTGCCCCTCCCCCCAGGTCCTTCCCTCCTCTGAAGCCCCGAGCCCGAGGCGCCAACTCACCTCTCGCAGTACACAGGTAGCGGCATTTGTGGCAATCCAGGAGGCCCTGGGCCTCCGACTGGTAATATTCCACGTCCTCGCGTCCAGGGTATGGGGGCAGGTAGCTCTCTGCAGCGAACTCACTGCAACAAACATACACGGCCATCAGGGGCTTGCTCTGCGCAGGGCTGGACAGTGAGTGACACACGGGGAGTGATGGGGTCACTGCAAGATCTCACGGTCAGAGCTCTCTGCCAAACGGACCTCCAGGCACCAAGATGTGGGTTCTTGTCCCTGGCTTCCTGCAAGGTGGCAGGAATGAGTTAACTAGGGGTGGGGAGAAGCCTTTACAGGGGGAGACAGGGGCGGTCAGCATGCCTCAGACCTCAAGGGACCCCCCAGCCCCCCATGGCATTCTCTTCCTTTCCTTGTTACCCAAACTTACTGGGCCCCTTTTGAGGAAAACAAAAGAAAGAAGGGGAAGGAAGGAAGGAAGGAAGGAAGGAGAAAAGAAAAAAAGGAAAGAAAGAAAAAGAAAGAAAGAAGGAAAGAAGGAAAAAGGAAAGAAAGAAAAGAAAAGAAAGAAAGAAAGAAAGAAAGAAAGAAAGAAAGAAAGAAAGAAAGAAAGAAAGAAACCCCTCAGGGATAGTTCCAGTATTTCCCACTTGCCCACACCGTCTCACTTTGGGAAACATTTTTCTAACATATCACGCACTGATCTTTTGTTGAGGAGGTGGTTTGGGATCACTTTTGTTGGGCTCAGGGGAGGACACGTCGTGCCACGGATGGAACCCGAGGCTGCAGCGTGCAAAGCAAACACCATATTCCCGGCACTATCTCTCCCGCCCCAAGCATTTGTGGTTTGGGTTTGAAATCCAAAGACTCCATATGCGGATAAAATCTAAACTACTGCTTGCACGGCTCACAGAACCAGCCAAGGTAACTTCCCTTCCTCCCGGCTCCCCCAAAGAACGACCCTTCGCCCCAAGAGCCGGGAGCACGGGAGCACCAGCAGTGGTAGCCCCCAACCATCCCCCTCGGCTGGTCCCCGTGGAGTCTATTCTCAGCTCAGCGCCCTCTCCCAGGCTCCCCGCTTCGGACTCCTTTCTGCAAGGAGGACTTCACATTCTGTCGCCTGGAGACTTCCGGCGCCCCCCGCTGGGCCCCCTCGGCTTTCACCGCACCGGGCGCTGCCCCGGGCCCTTCCCGGCCGGTCCAGTCCCCGCCCTCTCGCCTGTCCGTCACGCGAAGGCTCCTAGCCCGGAGGGAAACACGGAAGTAAACTGCCCTCGCTGGGAACCCTCGGACGCGAGCGAGCGAGCAAGGCCCCCGGCGGGGACCCTGGACACGCGGGGTGCGGGTGGCGGGGGGCGGAAGGTCCCTGGACCAGCGCTGTCCTGGAAGCCAGGCCCTGCAGTCACAGGGCGGCTGGGCCGGGGCCCCTGGGGTGCGCCCGGGGTCAGAGTGCGGCCGCGGGGCCAGCGGGTTTCTGATAAGGAAAGATAAAGGAAAGATCAACTCAGGACCAGCACCCAGCCAGGCGGGGCTGAGCCTCCAGGTCCCGCAGCCCTGCACCTGCGGGGCTTAGCGACCCGTCTGGCGTGCCCCGTCCCTGGGGAACTGCACGCACGCCGGGGAGAAAGGGGGCTGGTCGCCGGAGGGGTACGGGGTGGCGGGTCTAGCGCCTCCCTCTCCCGCCCACGGAATCCCCCCAGAAGGGCCAGGGGCCTGGGACCTTGCTGGCCCCTTCCGGTGACCCTGCTAGTGCTTGCGGTGGGGGCGTGGGCAAAGGCGGGGTCTGAAGGGGCAGCGCAGAACGACCCCGACCCCCAAGGGGCCACGGTCTCCGCCTTGAGAGGGGGACGGTGGATAGAGATGGGGCGGAACCCTGGACCCGCAGTTATCAGCCCGTCCGGGGGCGGACGAGCTGGTCCAGCTCTTGCCCGACGCCCGGGCTGCTGGCGGGGCATCCGGCTTGGCTTAAAGGGGCTCAGGTCAAGCAGCGGGGCTCCCCTGGGCTCCCTGTCCCTCCCGGGTCACCGCTCAGCGCGCCAAGACAGGAGGGGTAGGGGGCGGGGCAGTGGGTGGGGGGCACCGGAGTGGCAGCCGCGTCCCCCACCCCGCGCGCGCCCCCCGTGCTGGCCCCACGCCCCCCGCTCCGCGCCTGGGCCCCCCCACACTGCCCCCTGCACCCCTCGCTCACCTTTCCGGCCCGCGGTACCCGTAAATCTGGTTCCAGGCGGGCGGCGGCTCCGGGGGTCCCCAAGGCGCTGCTCCGGGGGGCGGGGCGGCTTCCCGCGTCCGGCCGGGGCGGGGTCTCCCTCCAGCTCGCTGCTCCCCCTCGCCAGGCTCCCAGGGCGCGGCCAAGTCGTAGAGGGACTCTCGGCCCCTCGCCCGGTCCCGGTCGCGCCTGTCCCCGCGCCTGTCCCCGCTGCGGTCCCCGCGCCCGTCCCAACGCCCGTCCACGCTCCTGTCCCCGTAGCGTTCCCCACGCCCGTCCCCCTTCCTGTCCCCGCTCCTGTCCCCTCTCCTGTCTCCCCTCCTGTCCCCGCGCCCGTCCCCCCTCCTGTCCCCGCTCCTGTCCCCACGTCCGTCGCCGCGCTCGTCCCCGCGCCCGTCCCTGCTCCTGTCCCCGCGCCGCGTCCCGGCTCCGTCCCGCGGCCGCTCGGGCCGGCGCTCTCGGTCGGAGCGGGGAGGCCGCCCCGGGTCGCGCTCTCTCGGCCGGGGCCGCGACTCGCGGGGCCTCGACGGCCCCTCCATGGCCCGGTTCCGCGTCCCGGGCCGGAAGCGAGCCGAGGGCAGGACACACGCCCCCAAGTTTGCTGGGCAGGTGGCCGGGGCGGGGCCGGCGGCGCGGGACGGGCACCTGCGCGCACGCGCACTCGCCGCCGCCGCCGCCCCGGGACGCACCTGAGCGCGCGCGCCGGCAGGGGGCGCCGCGGGGTCGAAGGTCTGCGCCGAGACCCGCCAGGCTGTGCTCGACTTCCTCAGCACGGGGCTTGCTTTCCTTGACGGCGGGTCCACCCCTGACCCGGTCATCTGCCACCCCCAGGGTCAGCGTCTGGCCCCGTGCAATAGTCCTGGGCGGTCCTGACCGTGAGGAGCCCCAGGAATTGTCAGGTGGTGTGTGTGTGTGTGTGTGTGTGTGTGTGACCAGTGAGTAGGAGGGGCTCAGGGGGCGTGTAGTGAGATTGGGGTGGGGTGGGGAACAAGTCTTGACTTCCGTAGGCAAAGCTTGTACCCCAATTGTGTACCCCAATGTGTACCCCAATTCCAAGAGTTCTCTGCCCTGAAACTGGCAGGTTAAAAAAAATTTTTTTTAATCACCGTTACAGTCACGGTCCTCCCGTTGTTCATCGATTTGCTTGAGCGGGCCCAGTAACGTCTCCATCATGAGACTTGTTGTTACTGTGTTTGGCATATCGAATACGTCGCAGGGAGCTTGCCAGGCTTTGCCGTGGCATATGGATACTCTCTGTAGCTTGGCAGGCTCGCTGAGAGGGGCAAACGAATCGAACTCCAGTCGGCTGGTTAGGCTGTGTGCAAGGCAAATGCCCTACCTGCTGTGCTATTGCTCCCATCACTATCCTTCAATATTAAAAACCACAGTGCCTAAAAGGAAAATATGAGAGAGAGAGACAGAGAGAGAGAGGTGTCTGCCATAGAGGCAGGCTGTGGGGACATTGGTGGTAAGAAATGTGCAGTGGGTGCTGGAACATTGCATGACTGAAACCCAATCATGAACAACTCTGTAAATGTGTATCTTATGCGGCCAACATGGCTCAGGTCGGCCATGTTGGCCGCATAAGATACACATTACACTCGATTCCTCCACCCCTCTCAGAGAGCCCGGCAAGCTACGGAGAGTATCTCGCCCACACGCAGAGCCTGGCAAGCTCCCTGTGACGTATTCAATATGCCAAACACAGTAACAACAAGTCTCATGATAGAGACGTTACTGGGCCCGCTCAAGCAAATCGATGAACAACGGGAGGACTGTGACTGTGATGGTGATTAAAAAAAATTCTTTTAACCTGCCAGTTTCAGGGCAGAGAACTCTTGGAATTGGGGTACACATTGGGGTACACAATTGGGGTACAAGCTTTGCCTACGGAAGTCAAGACTTGTTCCCCACCCCACCCCAATCTCACTACATGCCCCCTGAACCCCTCCTACTCATTGGTCACACACACACACACACACACACACACCTGACAATTCCTGGGGCTTACTGAGCCCGCTCGAGCAAATCGATGAACAACGGGAGGACAGTGCTACAGTGCTACTGAAAGGATATCATGCATATCCCTTTACCTCATTTCAGCACTCAGTTCTTGTCCGAGCGATCATCTCCAACAATCATTCTATCATTGTCATAGTGGTCCCTTCTCTATCCTGCCCTCCCCGGCCCCCTTTGTGGCAACTTCCCACCATGGACCAGTCCTCCTGGCCCTTGTTTCTACTGTCTATGGGTATTATTTACATACTATTTTTTATATCCCTCAAATGAGCGCGATCATTCTATGTCCCTCTTCCTCTGACTTATTTCATTCAGCATGATACTTTCCATGTCCATCCATGTGTATGCAAATCTCATGACTTCATTTTACCTAACGGCTGCGTAGCTTTCCATGGTATACAATATAGTTCCATGGTACATCATAGTTTCTTTATCCAGTCATCAGTTCTTGGGCACTTGGGTTCTTTCCAGATTCTGGCTATTGTGCACAGCGCTGCAATGAACATAGGAGTGCAGAGGGCTTCCCTGAATTGTGTTTTGGGGCCACTAGGGTATATTGAGTTGGCAGTTTTCTATTTTCTCAAGTGAGAATATTTTCAAACATTATAAATCTGCCATCTGTGAATTTATTCTCCCCCGTAAGGGGGAACCTAATGCAAGCATGAAATAAAATCTTTTCTATGGGGATTGGAGAACACTCTATTCCATTGGGGGGCAGAAGCCTTTCTTTGTCCGTTCTCTTCTGAGTGGTCTCGCTCAGCTATTCCTATCAGGGAGACCATCTTTCAGGCGTGTGAATCAAGGGGAACCCCTTCCGTCGTGTGCAGGTGATCTGAGCCCTCCGTCTCAGAATTCCATCTCTCCATCCAGTAGGAGACAGTAAAACCTGCAGCAAGGGCCGAGATGGCCAGCAGGGGGCAGCACAGGCTCAGGCTGGGTCCCTGCACGGAGCCTTCCTCTTCTCTCCCATCAGCGTCTTCCTTGAAGACTTGGGCCAGGTGAGTCTACTTTCTCCTGACATCGAAAGTGATTTTGGAAGTTCACCAAACCTGTCTGTGCCCAGGTGTCCTCATTTACGAAACAGCCCCCACTTAAGCTGCTCCAGCGGAGTATTGTCTGGGTTGGGCCTGCAGGAGCGATTGCAGTGTCAAGTCAGGCCAACTCAGGGGAGCACAGACTCTCAGTGCTCACAGCGGGAGGCCCAGGGAAAGAAGCGCTTGGGGTATGATGGGGAGTGGGGTGGAAGGAACCACAAAGAGCGTCCAGATGGGAGGGGTGTTTGAGGAGGACTGTAGGGTTCCCTGAGAACCAGGGGGGCCGCTCGGAGGAGAATACAGGGAGCTTTGGGGGACACGTCAAATCCTTCCTTTGGGCCTGGGAAGAGAGCACAGGAACAAACGGGGTGGCCACCCCCAGGCTTGGGCTTGTCCTGGGGTCTGTGGTTCCCATGGGAGCATCTCCTGCCTTCTGTACCGGTTGGGGTGGTGAAGGGGAGACCCTTCCTCTGTGCTGCAGCCCGGATGCTCTGCAAGGGTCAAGCGTGTCTGCCAGCTGGGGGGCTTACAGATGTGCCAGGGCCACACCGCAGGCCCCAGGAAGTCATCAGAAGAGGCTGGTGTAAAGATCTATGCCTCCTCACTGACAGCCCAGCGGGATGAGATGGACTGGGAGGCTGAGAGAGGGCGGAGCCAGGCCAGAACCCCCTGTGCCTCGGGTCTTCCTGCATGGAAAGAGAGCGATTACGGTGGCTGGCACGCGCTGTCTTGCCCTTGGTAGCGATCATCCAGTGTCCCAGGAACCCCCTCCGTGTCCCAGGGCGGGAGCTGATGGTCGCCCACCTGCACTTTGAGGTGACTCTTTCTTCAGATGAAAAACCACCCGCCTCTCTCCTGTAAGCACTGGCGGGACCCCGGCCTGTGAGCACCAGAGCAGCTGCCTGCGGGTGTGAGGCTTAAGTTCATGGTGTGTCCTGGGGGTGTCCCCAGCATTGCCATGGTGTGCAACCCTGGTAGGGGGTTGTGGGAGCCCCACCCTGCCCCCCGTCTGTGTGGGAGCACCACCCTGCCCCCAATCTGTGGGAGCACCAACCTGCCCCCTGTCTGTTTTGGAGCACTGCCCTTACTCCAGTCTGTGGGAGAACTGCCCTGCCCCCAGTCTGTGGGAGCACAACCCTGCCCCCAGTCTGTGTGGGAGCACTATCCCGCCTCAGTCTGTGGGAGCACCACCCTGCCCCCAGTCTGTGTGGGAGCACCGCCCTGCTCTCAGTCTGTGTGGGAACACTGCCCTTCTCGCAGTCTGTGTGAGAGCACCGTCCTGCCCCCAGCCTGTGGGGAACACTGCCCTGCCCCCAGTCTGTGTGGGAGCCTCACTCTGCCCCAGCAAGCTGTGCAACCACAAGGGGGCCACATCACGCCCAAGGTGTGGGCCCCCAGGGAGCATCCCAGCTGAGTGTTCACACAGAGCCCGTTCACGCGTGTGCAGGCCCCCGTCAGCACTGCTGCAGTCACAGAGGGAAGGGAAAGGGAGACGCAGATGGCACCAAGCATTGGCCCTTGACCAATCTGAGAAGAGCATCTGGCAGGGCAGGGCTGAGCTGAGTCCAGGGCAAGTGGGTGTCGGGTGAAGGAAGGCCTTTCGGGGCCACCTGGTGAAGGGGAGACAGGCCAGGGGGCTTTGGTGATTCCCAGCAACAATGTCCACGTCGTCTGCCAGCACCTCTCCAGGGAAAGGGAAGGCCGCAAAGGGCAGAGCCGGCCCAGGACCCAGGGCTCCTTCTGCTGTGATTTCTCTGTTGTCATAATGGGAACTGCTCAGTCCTCACCCTTCCTAAGGCTACCAGGAGCCCTGGAGGCCAGAATTCAGGCCGAGGGACTGGGCCCTACCAATGATTCCAGAATCATTTTCTTTCTTTACTTTTGGGGGCCTCCCCAACAGTAGTGGGGAACTCAGAGATGTCCCAGTGATACTTGGCCCAGTGTTGGGGTCACCAGGACTCCTGGGGTGTGTGTGCATGTGGGGGGGGCATGGTCCTGGGATCGAACTCAGGGCCTCTCAAGGCTCCAGCCCTTCAAGCCACATCCCTGGACCCGGACTAAATTACCTGCCACAGGTCAGGTCTCAAGTCTGCAGGTGCTTACCCACGGACAGGAATCTTGAGTGGAAACACATCACAGCGGGTTGGGCATGGGCCTTTAACCTAGTAGCCCACTCAGGTAGGTTTGATGCTTGGCACCCCATATGGTCCCCTGAACCCTGCCAGAAGTGACCGCGAAGTGCACAACCAAGAGTAAGCCCTGAGTAGAGCTGGGTGTGCCCCTAGAGTCCCAAAACATCGAGAAAGAAAAAAGAAACGATTGGGATCTTCCTGTATTTTCACGGGTCTTGCCCTTCGTCTTCTCTGTGGCTCAGGCTATGACAGCGGGTCCAGGTCTGGGGATGTGTGTCCTTCTGCTCGACTCTGATTTCCCAGAACCAGGGAGGATGCCCAGGGGGTGCCTGGCGTGACGTGGAGCAATTCTGG